TTCTTTCCTAAAGGGTTTATTTTCTTCTTTGAAACATGTATGAAACTTATATTATTTTGAGTCAATATTCATATTTAAAAGCATAATTTCAGTCACTTTCATACAAGATAGTCAACATTTCATACAAGAATTGATTTGACATGATGACAAAGCGAAATTCTGTCGTCTGCTTTGATTGACAGGTGTCATGACGTCATAATGACATTCTTGAAATGTTTTGCACACGGCCCCAAAGTATTTACCTGTATAGTTAGCATAAACAAAACGTAGTACCAACGTATAGTGTATAATGTAAAAACACAGTGTAGTGTGACGTCATAATCACATTCTTGCAATGTTTTGCACACGGCGCATTTTTACCTGTGTCCATAAGAAAACGTAACCAACGTATAGGGTAAACACAGTGTAAACAACTCCGTATTTAGGGGATAGGTTAGGGGATAGGGTTAGAGGGCTAAGGGGGTTAGGGTTAGGGGTTAGGGATAGGGATAGGGGGTTAGGGTTAGTTAGGGTTAGGGTTAGGGGGTTAGGGTTAGGGTTAGTTAGGGCTAAGGGGGATAGGGATAGTTAGGGTTAGGGTTAGGGGGTAAGGGTCTAGGGTTAGGGTTAGGGTTAGGGTTAGGGCTAGGGGGCTAGGGTTAGAGGGGTTAGGGATTAGGGCTAGGGTTAGGGTTAGGGGGAATTAGGGTTAGGACTGCACTCAGTTGACCCCCTTATCCCCTCCACCAATCAGAACTGATCACGTGATTTCTCTCAGCCAATCAGAATCTTCCCCTAGCTAGACCCCTTATACTACTAAGGACAAAAAACCTCTTATCCCACATGACGTTTTCAAAATCACGTTTTATTTTTTAGACAGTTAAAATTCAGTACACAAAATAATCAGAACCATCAAATCAAAAAAAGATAAAACATAAATGTTTATTTTTATTTCAGTATCTGACATCGGAATAAAGCATTTTGTTGGTAAAAGTTTGATCATCTGATTGATTTGACGCAAGCCTTTCGAACACTCTCACTTTTCCTGATACGTCGCCTTTATTTTGATACTTGACTGTCTGATGTCCCTCGGACTTAAAACTAGGGTTAGGTATCATCGCTTTGCTGTAGTACTCCCCCGCACCGCCCCCGATAGTTTTTGACCTGACGGGGCGTTCGTAATCGTGGATTGCCTCGTCTGCGGCGTTCCCGTACAAAATGAAGCTGATCGTACATATCGGGTGTTGATGTTACTCCTGAAACGAAACGAAAATTGGAGAAAGCTTGTGTATTTTTTTTTTAATTCACCTTGAATGGAGCGTGTTTATTTATTAAATTTGTTTTCTTTGATTAAATGAAATTTATGGAATGTATATTAATATTCTTAAGGAGGCTCATTACACCACTTTTTGATGACGTACTACACAAAAAAATAAACCTCCATTGTGCCGACCGGTTTGCTCAGGGGACGAGTTGTATAGCTACCTCTAAATATGACCCTGACCTTTAAAACGCTTTAAAAATAGATGAAACATGCGGTGTTGTAAACAGTGAAAACAAAGTAACGGATTCATTATGCATAAACCAAGAAGAATTGCTTTTAGGCAGAAACAAAAGAAAGCAACAGTCAAATCTTCGCCAAACAAGTAATGTCAATTTCATAGCCATGCATGCAGTGAACTCTATCAATCACTGACATGTATGTATGGAGGAAATTCGAGTTAAAATCTACAACCTTGTTGAAATTAAAATTTTATTTAATTGCGCTATTTACTGTGTTGGTGTTGATTTATATATTTGTTCTATTGATTTAAATGTATACTCTGGCAATTTAAAGCGTTATTCTGAATTTTAGATGTAATGTCAAACGTTCCATAGTGTTTTGAGTCTTGGTTAATTAGGAAAGATAACTCTTGAAAGTGGACTTTTTATACCAAATATTTTTTAAATTGGATTTTTCATTTCGTTTAAACTTTCTTCATTCAATTTGACACATGTAATTCATTGAAATACATTCCTTGTCTCTTCAGAACACATTTTTAAAATGTTTTATGCATAAATTAAAAAGATAATGACATTAATAATTTTCTAGGAGAAAATTATTTTTTCTAATAAAATTATTATTAGGTATTATGAGGTATTTTCACTGTGTGTACTTGTCTTAAGAAGATGTCCATCATTTGACACTGAAAGTTCTGAAATTCTGTGAATAATAAACCTGAAATAAAACATTTCACTAAAATAAAACAAAAACTAAAAAATTCTATAAAAATATTTATGATATCAATACCCCCATCTGGATATTTGACATCTACATTATAAGTGGTGCTGTATTGAAATCTAAAATAAACTGTGCATGTAATGAGCCACCTTAAGTGAAAAATTATATGGTTGAGCATAGATATGGATGATTTGTGTAAAAAAAGACCCGTGTAGGGAAATTCGGTATAAACATTATAATTTGTTTGTTTTTAAATGCTTCAAATTTAATTATCATGACCCGGAATCCACAGTCTGTCCGTCTGTCACAAAAAAACTTCATATATCCTTGGTGATATCAATAAAACACAATCCTCTATAGGTTTCAATATGAAGCATACCTCAGGGGGTTTGTTTGTATTGAGATTATAGAGGTCGTTTTCAAAGGCTCCCCCCTGATGTCTGGTCGGGGTCCATCACGTTCTCATGGAGGGACTGCCCTCGGTACATCTCGGACTGGATTATTGCCTCCTTGTCTTGTTTCCTATAACAAAATTCAATATTTTAAACAAATTATTAAAATTATATTTTAGAAAAAATATAAATGCATTGTTTAGCTACATGTATATATATATTTTTTTAAAATTCACATTCTTGTATGTTTCATTATTAAGAGGGGAAATGAAACATCAGAAATGTTTAAAGAGGTTTGAGCTGTACGATTCACTATATGGTCTTTAATTTAAATACTGAACATTTCTATATATATTATAAAACAAATAAATTGATCCGTTTCAATATATAAATTTTTTTCTTTTTATATTTCACTGTTAATTTAGTTTTTCTAATCAATCAGCAAGATTCGTACTTATTTTTACGTATTTTGAACATGAGACCGACAAGTGCGGCAGCAATGACAAAAATAACAGCTAGCACCACTCCAACGACTGCTCCATCAGACAGAGCGCCGCCATTTCCGTCAGCTTCCTCTAAAGCGCCCTCTATAGGATCACCTACGTCATCTGGGTTTGTCGTGGTTGTCGTTTGTGTTGTAGTTGGAGCTAATGTTGTGGACGGTGTTGTTGTTGTGACTGAAATATATATAAAGAAATAATTATGGTTTTTGTTTGGATATTTTGACTGTGTTTAAGATTTTGAAAGATTATAAATGAGAAAGAATAACATGCATGCATATGTGTCCAGTTACTGTTTCTTACTCCAATGTGAAGGTCAGGAGGTCAATTAGATTGGTGTCAAAAGAAAAGGTTTAAATTTTTATTCCCTGTAATCCAAGATTAGGATATATAGTTTTTGCCCTGTCAGTCTGTCTGTCTGTTGGTCCGCAAAAACTTTAACATTGTCCATAAATTTTGACAGAGTCGAGCTATGGCTTTCATATTTCACAGGTGTATTCCTTGTGACTAGAACTTTCTTTTGTTACCTCAAATTTTGACCCTTGACATGGGCCTTGGAGTTTGACACACTTTCACACCAAAATTCAAAACTTTTATAACTTTTGAACAGTTGGTAATAAGATTTTCATACTTCACATCTGTATTCTTTGTGAAAAGGCCTTCTATTGGATACCATAAACTTGGACGTTTTGACTTTTATCATGGAAATTGACCAACTTAAAAAAAAACCTTTAAACTTGGCCATAACTTTTTAAATGTAAGGTCTAAGGATGTCATACATGTGCTTCACATGCCATTCATATGACAAGACCTTTCATTGGATACAACAACTTTGACCCTTTGACCTTGACCTAGGAGTTTGATCTACTTTTTAAGAACTTTTAAAAGAATGGTTCTAGGGCTTTCATACTTCACATATGTAAAATTTTGTACTTTTCATTATACTAGTATACAAACAACTTTGACCCTATGACCTACTTCTTAAAAAAACTTTAACCTTGGCCAAAACTTTTAAGGTTAAGGCTTACATATTTCACATAAATTATGTAATCCTTGTGTAAAGGCCTTTCTTTAGAAACAAACAACATTGGCCCTTTGACCTTGACCCCGAAGTTTGACCTACTTTTAAAAAACTTTAAACTTTGGTCGTAACTTTTGAACAGGTGCTCCTAGTGTTTTGTACTTCACATATGAATTTCTTGTGAGATGGCCTTTAATTCTTTGCAATATTGATTTTCATTTGAGAAAATTTAACCTTCGCTATCTTGACATACGGGGGCATCAGTGTTTCACAAACACATTCTGTTCAGAATATGTTACACATCAAAATCAAGGTCATGACATGAAGAATGTTTGGTACGCAATAAAAGGTATTATCTTCATAAATACATGCGAACGAGACATATTACACCTGTATTACATGAAACCTTTGTATCATAGGCGCTCCCCATGTAATTCTGTAAAAGACGAAAGAGAAGTATATATATATATATATATATATATATATATATATATATATATATATATATATATATATATATAGGTTACCCCTCTATACTATAAAATAACCTAGTATAGAGGGGTAGACCTATATATATGCTTATCACACGTCATTTACAGAATTATATGTGGAGCGCCTATGCTTTGTATTCCTTTTCTAAAAAGCACTAAACGTTTAAAATGGTTGTTACGAATGCTAAAATTTCATTACTAAGATTAAACTCCTTCGATACACTTCGTTGTTTGAGAGATACAGTGAGAACTTACTTAATACACAGCGATTCCCTTCCTGTATAAAGCCCGGACAGCAGTATCTCTGTATGGCGTACGTAATCCGGAACTCTATGACTTTTTGCAGTGAATAGACACTAAAAAGGTGATTTTTTATTCAAGTACAATGCTATGATTAAGTTGTTAAATTCAAACTGAGAAATAAATCCTTTGATTGAGTTAATATCTGATTCAAACATATTCCAAATGTACGTTAGTGCCATAAGATGCCATTTCTCTCCTCTGGTACTATTTCGCGTTATGAATACATGTATCCAGTCATGAATTTTACTATGTAGCGTCATCTACTAGTAAATGGTTACTTAACTAATGGACGTAAAATGTGATTAACTATAGCTACCGTAAACCGGCCATTTCAAGCACATCAATTTTCTTAATAATACAGCAGATGGAATTTAGTATTTGAATTAATATTGATTCACGCCTTTGAATTGTTAGATGTTGTATTTTAAAGTAAAACTCACGTCTTACAGTAGTATCAGGTGAACTTTGACACTTACGTTTTACAATCGGTAGGGGTGCTGCATCTTTGTTTAGATACCCTTCTTGTCTCTATGTACGAAACTTTCTGACTGAAATAATAAAATTTAATTTTCACTTTTTATCAGTTGAAAAAATATTAATGAACATTCAGTACTTTTTGTTTCTCGATTTAAAACATGTATATGTAGTTTCAATATTTTAGAATATATGAAAAATATATAAAAAAGTATATGTGGTTGCAAGCATGTACTATTGCATTTTAAATTGTGGGGAAAGGGGTAAGTAAATTATGTTGACGAGAGTCTATAAGCCATACAAGATGTTTTTGTGAATTCTATGCCCCCGATGGTAACACAGACACGCAGCATTGTTAAGGCTTACTACGAGAAATCAAGGGAAAACAGAAGTGCAAAAACGGACATTGTTTTTAAAACTGAATTTATTTTTATTCAGCTGTTTTATTATCATAGAACTTAAATACTTAGGGATATAGCATACTACAACCTACTCTGTACTGTATGGAGTTTAGTCCTATCGATGGACAGTCACGTGGAGAATGCATAGTGGGTACACGGAATGGAGGTCATAAACAAATTTCAATATCGCAAGGGCATACCCTAGTTGAAATAAAAAAATTAAGTTACCATTTGTTTCTGCATACTTTGTACTTTCTGGAAAGTGCTGCTGCTTTAAATAGAATTCGCATTTTTATTAGTTAAAATTTCGAGTTAATATACCCATGTCGAAATATGTATGACTTTTACCAAGTATTTTGTGTACTTTTAAAGTCATGCTCTCGACTGAAAGAAAGCAGCAGCACTTTTCAAGTTAAGGAACATATCCTCTATCTATATATTCAAAAAATGGTCAAAATTTATTTATTGTATGCCCTTGCGAAAGAGCGATTTAATGAGGCACCTCGATTTAAAATATACCTAACCTGAACATAAAAACGCGACAGAATTATCTACATACATTCTTTCGATTGTTAATGATTAATCGCACTAAACAAAGGATCTACATTGGTATTATTGGCCTATTAAAACCCTGTAAATGATACTCTGTTTTATAATAAAACGCATTTTTCATTGTTTAAAAAATCCTAAATCTGCCTCTCACAGCACATAAAATACGCCATACCAAAATGACGTCATGATTGACAAGTTCATCGAGATCGGTAATTTGTTTAAAACCAGCTGTATGGGATTTAACTAGCGACTTTTGTTAATGCATTGATAAGTTTTATTGTTGTTTATTATGCTAATACAGTTTAAAGTTGCAAATTATTTCATTTTTGAGTAATATGAGGAATGCATAAAAGTCATATTTTTGGTGTGACGTCACAGTAAACATTTCCCGTATAAATTAGGCCCACCCCCCCTTTTTCTAGCCTTAACAGTGCTGCGCATTGAGTGGCACGTTGACTGAAGTGATACTCGTACACACTAATACTTCAAAGGGCAAGAGTTAAAGGCTAGGTTGAGTTTTACTACAGACAGACAGACAAACAGACATACAAGACGAACCCCCCCCCCCCCCCTCTCTCTCTCTCTTTTGATTCAACGGCAAAAAAGGGTAACTCTCCGCTATTCGATAAAATAATTTTGTCCATCTCGATTGTAGGAGGTGTAGAAAAAACAGATTTCAAGAATGTTTTTCATTTCAATTTAGCTGCAATTCATTATTATCCAAGTAAGGTCAGGGGATTGCACCCCCCCCCCTCACCTCCCTGAAACAAGGTGCATGAAAATATGGTCCTATATGTGCACATATATACATACGCAACAGAACGTGTACAGACATTGTCACCCTCCAGGGCGGATACGATCCCGATAATCCCGCATACCATCACCAGTCTCATTGAAAAGTAGGTCATTGTGATACTCTATAAAACAAAACACAATCACATAGATACAAACCATTTTCTTATTGAAAAGTAGGTCATGGTGATACTCTATAAAACAGATCACAATCACGTAGATACAAACCATTCTCTTATTGAACAATAAATCATGATGATTTTCTAGAAAACAATGAAAACACAATTAGATACAACCCAGTCTCTTTGAACAAGAGACCTTTAATTATGCTCTAAAACATGAACACATGAACACAACCCACTTTGATTAAAATCATTTCCTCGATCTGTACCTATCTCGAGTAGCGACAATTAAAAAGCAATTAAAGGAGCGGATCAAGGATCTGATTTTATTCAGTTTGAATCATATATAATATTACAGTATGGATGAATAATACTGATGAAATTTTTTTTTATAAATAAAAAGATTTAAAAAAAAATATTTTTACGATCCTTGTTTACATCATGAAGAATTTTAATTTCTGTATCTCTCATTGTAAATCAACAAATGATGTTCAAATTTTTGAAACTGCTGATCATTAGAATTGCCTTTGTTAGGAATTGTAAACATTCAAATTGGTTTAAAAAATCAGTTGAAACTGTGTCCATGCCCCCTTAATAATTAAGTATGGACTTGAGCTTCAGTTGATTCGATACACAAGAGTATGCTTTACGTATGAACAATTTCTAAAACGAGGTAAATTATTGACAAGCAAGTTGATGAAACAGGAGCAGTTCCTCTTTATAAAGTCATCATTTCGTAAGTTCTTGATGGTCGATACAATGTACTTGTCAGCAAATACAATTTATCATTAAGTCAATTTTTGACTAAATAACGTTTATCGTACTAATTGTTAGTCCGTTATTTATACACTGAATTGACGGCGGATTTTTTCCATTTTCCTGATTGATGACAAGGAGCACACGGCGGGTGTGACCGGTCGGCAGGGAATGCTCACTCCTCCATGGCACCTGATCCCACCTCTGATGTTTCGGGGGTCCGTGTTTGCTCTACTCTTATTTTGTATCGTTTTATGGACTTTGAGACTGAATACCGTTCGTTATCTCCATATCCTTCTTCCTCATTAGAATTTTTCATGGTTACCTGTATACATCATTTATAATACATACATTGCATATATGCATGTATCATATTTATAAATTATGAACTCTACCCAAACAAAGTTCGCGATGGGTGTAGCAGTTCGACCTTTTTAATTTCAAACTTCCTTAATTATTTTCAACGCAGTTTACTTCAATTCATTTAGTTTACTGGCAAATTAAAAGCCCTTGTGGGAAAAGAGAACGTACATATACATTTTAAAGACCTTATACAATAATTATATTCACATGCATGAATTATATGACCAGTATGATTTTCTACAACACCCCCCATCCCATTCCACCCTAATACAAGCACCCTTGGACTGTGCACTCATTTACATTCAATAAATGGTTTCTTCATCATGCTCATACATGTAACAATAGCCACAGAATTAACATCAAATTAAAAAAAAGAACAAATTTCATGATTATAGTATCATCTTCACACATATTTACAATCACATGTCAACATCGATTTCAAACAAAAAAAAATATTAGTATACTAACCTTGATTAAGTTTCAAGAGAGTTTCAAGAGAGCATAGCTATCTAACTGAATCATAAAACAAGTTTGACAAATAATGAGAATTTTCATTAAATCGTCTGTGTGTATTAACTCACCGTATATGACAATTGTACGGTGACGATAGCGAGTTGGCGATGGAAGAGAGAGTCTATTTCCGCTATTGCTTCAGATATGGTCACTCTCAATAGACAAACACCGGTAGTCGTCCTAGAGTTGGAACTGAGTCACTGCGAAGTTCACGAGCAAAGGACTTAGATTTTAAAGCTCAAAGCTCAATTTCGTGAAAATTAATACCAAAAATAGGACGATTCCACATGAAAAGCATTTGGCATACTTTGAAAATAAACGAGAATAAAAGATGCAAGATTAAGAACGTGGTATTACATATATTCTCTTCAGCTGATAATTTTTATAATGAAAATTCAAAATACAAAATAATCTGACTTATATGACCACCCCTGCCCTTATTCCCACCCTCTACAAAAGAAATGATTAGAAATTCTTTTAATAACATTAATCTATTCGCATATTAAATAAAAAAAAAATTTCATATCCCCCCCCCCCCGCCCTCCTCAATCCCTCTGCCCCCACTGCCCCGCTTTTCAAATTAATTTGAAAATTAACTCAAAAGATACCTTGCACATCTGTAAATTTAATTCACGCTATAGGTTATGCAGGGATACATTGTAATACATGCACTATAGACAGGTAAATAATGCAATATAATATTTAGAATAAACACACAATGAAATCAATTTAAATAGGATCCGTGAAACAAATTATCAATCTTCATAAAATTTCATTTCATTTCTGACCGTTAAAATCGTGACTTACATCCTCCTACCTGTTTGTCTAGCGTAAAATTATTATTATATAAAAATGATAATAGCGTTCTTCCTTAATCATACATGTAATATAGAATTTTCTGTCCCCCTCGCTTTCGCGAAAGCGAGGGACAATAAGGGGCAATGGATAAGTAAGCATACCCTGCCGATTGGTCCGTCTGTCTGTCCGTCGGTCCGTCAGTCTGTCCGTCACAAAAACTTTAACCTTGCCCATAACTTTTGATTAAGTGGAGCTATAATTTTCATATTTCATATGTGTATTCCTTGTGATAAGACCTTTCTTTTGGGTACCACAAATTTGACCTTTTGTGACTCGACCTTGGAGTTTAAACTACTTTTACTAAAAAATTCCAAACTTTTACTTTGGCCATAACTTTTGAATGTTAGGTACTAGGACTTTCATATTTCACATTATTATTCTTTGTGACAAGACCTTTCAATGAATACCAACAACTTTGACCTTTTGACCTTGACCTTGGATATTTACGTACTTATGAAAAAACTATATCCTTGACCATAATATTTGAACGGTAAGGGCTACGGCTTTTATACTTTACATATTTTATTCTAAAAGACCTGTCATTGGATTCCAAGAACTTTGACCTTTTGACCTTGACCTTGGAGTTTTAACTACTTTTTAAAAATTATAACCTTGGTCACAACTTTTGAACGGTAGACACAAGGACTTTTATATTTCACACATATATTCTTTGAGGCAACACTTTTCGTTGGATACCAACAACTTTGACCTTTGGACCTTGACCTTGGAGATTTACTTACTTCTGAAAAAACTTTAACCTTAAACATAACTTTTAAACGGTAAGGGCTAGGGCTTTCGTACTTCACGTATGTAATCCTTGTGAGAAGACCTTTTATTGCATGCCAAGAACTTTGACCCTTTGACCTTGACCTTGGAGTTTTAACTACTTTTTAAAAACGTTAACCTTGGTCACAACTTTTGAACGGTAGAAACTAGGACTTTCATATTTGAAATATATGTATTCTTTATGGCAAGACCTTTCATGGGATACCAAAAACTTTGACCTATTGACCTTGACCCTAAAAATGATATCTTGCCCACAAAGATACCGAAAGCGGGGGACCACAATTCTTTGAATTTGCTTGTTGTATTTGATTCACTTTTAGTTTCAAAATATCTATTAGTTTTAATGTGAAATCATTCTACCGGTATTCAGCATGCTCAGTACAAGATCGAATTCAAGATTACTTTGTATTTATCACAGATTTAACATTTAAGTACAGATCCCGAGTTTGGTACAGATACCTGAAAGATGACGTGGGCATTTCTTATAAACGACAAGTTAAAAGATATAATTCAAGTCATATTTCACAGTGTGATCAAATTTTAAGTTTTTCAGCAGTAAGATTAATGCCTCTTTATCTTAAAGATTTATCATAATTATAAGATTAAAGAAGGAATGGCGAACGAAAGTGGCGCGACTCAAATGACCAATAAATGAATAATGGACCGGGTGCAAAATATTTTGAGTCAGATTACATGTAGATGTAGTAAAGAAAAATAAAAGGATTGTAGCGAAACACAGAAGTTTCCTGACACAGTCACGATTAAATTAATATTCAAAAAGATGATAAAAACAGATACTGTCTTTTAATTTATTTCAATCCTGTACATGTATTTGTCACTACTGCACATTTGTACATGTACATACTTACAGCCCATTTATTTTCTTTAGCAGGCCTGAAAAGCTGAAGGGTATAACAGATCGCACTTTGTGCAAATTATGAATACCTTTATGTATCTTGGACCGTTAAGTAGCATTTTTCGAACTCTCTCTGTCATACAAGAATAATCCTATACTATTTGAAATATTTTCAGTAATTGCCACTGATAAAACTAAATGCATTCAACATGATTTATTTTTAGAAAGAATGCATTTCTCTATTTTGTTTCATATGTCTACACATAATACATGTACATGCATCTACTATAATGGTTTCACAATAATATAGTTTAATTTAATATAGATAAAATAGTAAACTAAGTAATAAAGTACAACTTTAAATAAATTAGGGATTTCACGTTCAAGAAAAAAAAAATAATAATGATATTAAATCTCCGTATATCCTGTTACGCTGACTCGATTTTTTTTCATTTTGTGAAAGATGTCATATATTCAAGTTCAACGTTATCTCTCTGTCATATAATGGGAGAAAAAATTGACGCTGATTAATTATACACGACAATGTTAATCTCACAATTTTATCGCTCTTGTAATTAGGCAAGATAAGTTATCCTTCTTTAGTGGAAAACTTTTGAAAGCAATTTTGATATCTCTCCCCCACTTTCTCTGCAGATACATATGTAAATGTAATAAATGCATGAGGCTATCTATGTTTGATAAGAAATAATGTCTCCAGCAGACGTGTTTTGGAGACGCAAAATTATAACATGTAGGCGACAAGATTCACAAACTGTTATTCGAGTACGAAAAAACTTGAGCAGGTTTGGCGGCCTACTTTAACTACCAAAATTTTATCGCTTCGAACTAATTAATTTGCCTTGTAATTGTAAA